CGTGTGCTCTTCCGATCTATTGACTTGCCTTCGTATGTATCTTATTAGTATGTAAGTATGTATTAGGGTGGTCCTTATTTTTCAAGTTATGGAATTTTTTAGTCTCATAGTTTAGAATGTTTTCTTTTCATAAAAAAACAATCCCTATAAAATTTCAGCTTAATCGGATAACGGAAAAGAGTATCGAAGAATAATTGATTTTTTATATATAAAATATGTATTTTAAATAATAATTTTTTAAATGGAACTTTCCATTTTTTATTGCATATTCTTGTAGCTTATTTCGAGAGCTTTCCAAAACATTTAGATAAAATGTTTTTTAGTTAAGTAAATCTCGAATTATAAAGCTTGAAAGTTATAGTGCCGCCATTAGCATTATTCAAGGTGTCCGCGACCAATGACTAAAACCTTTTGAATGTTATTTAGAAACATGAGCTTGACATATATATGTCAAGATCAAGGTCATTAAAGATTGTTGCTCTTTTATTCAAAAAATAAAAATAATTTTCAAAAATAAATATTTTCATTTTTAAAATTTTAATTTTTGAATAAAGTATAATTGATTTTTTAATAATTTTTTAAATTATGATTTTTGAATAAAGATAAATTGATTTTTTAAGATAAATGTGTATTTTAAATAATAATTTTTTAAATGAGACTTCCCATTTTTTATTGCGTATTCTTGTAGCTTATTTCAAGAGCTTTCCAAAATACTTAGATAAAATGTTTTTTGGTTCACTAAATCTCGAGTTATGAAGCTTGAAAGTTATAGTACCGCCGGCATTAACATATTATCCAAGGTGTCGGCTAAACAATGGCTAAAACCTTTTAAACGTGATTTAAGAATATGAGCTTGTTCTTTACGTCAAGATCAAGGTCATTAAAGATTGTTGCTCTTTTATTCAAAAAATAAAAATAATTTTAAAAATGAAAATATTTATTTTTGAAAATAGCTGAAAGAATATGAGCTTGTTTTTTACGTAAAAATAAAAATAATTTTCAAAAATGAATATTTTCATTTTTAAAATTATTTTTATTTTTACGTAAAAAACAAACTCATATTCTTAAATCACGTTTAAAAGGTTTTAGCCATTGTTCGGACATTTTGGATAATATGTTAATGCCGGCGGTACTATAACTTTTAAGCTTCATAACTTGAGATTTAGTAAACCAAAAAACATTTTATCTAAGTAAGTGTTTTGGAAAGCTCTTGAAATAAGCTACAAGAATACGCAATAAAAAATGGGAAGTACCATTTAAAAAATTATTATTTAAAATACACATTTATCTTAAAAAATCAATTATACTTCGGCACTCTAACCCGTTATCTGATTGAGATGAAATTTTACAGGGATTGTTTTTTTAAATGAAAAGAAATCATTCTAAACTATGAGACTAAAAAAATTCCATACTCAAAAAATAAGGATCATCCTAACATACATACATACATATGTATATACATATATAAAATAGAAAGAGGTAAATAATTCGAAAATTAAAAACGCTCTAGGATTTTGGTCTATATTTTTTTTTACTATAAAATTAATTAACAATTAAAAGCAACTGTTAAATCGCATCGCCAAAGTTACCGCGCAAAAGAATTATTTAATAATTTATAAGCATCATTTTTATCGAAGTGTCATCAAAAATATTTTATTTGCTTTAGCAAAACATTAAAAAAATATCTGGAAAATGATATTATTAATTTAATAGCGTGATGATAATATTATTTGCGTTTATATTTGATCCATGTGTATTTGTTGACAATCCTTTCATTTTTTGGTAATAATTTTGCATGTAAGCGTGTGTGTTACGGAATTAAACAAAAAACTAATTAAATTATATAGTTATTACACTACAGACTCGTTTCAGATATGCTTGTATGAGTGTCCTTGCATGAAGATAGCGTTTTAATTCATGTTTATTAATGCTAATATTTTTCTGCATTTAATAATGACTACATTTTTAGAATTACTTTTACGTATGTTGTTATTTAATCAATGAACGGTAGGCGTGCGCAAAACCACATTTTGTAAGAGAGGAGTTTTGTCGAAAGTGCTTGTCAAAAATTATTCATATCAAACTTATGAATTATAGATGTATATCCAAAAGATCGAGTCAGGATCTTTTATTTAACGCGCCGGAACATTTTTAACTCGTTCTTTACGTCATTTCCTTGATAAGTTTTAGCGGTATCATGTGTTGACGTTCAAGCAATGGTGGAAGCGATAGACACGATAGTCAGCGCGACGCCCATGCAGACTATTAAAATGACATAAGGTCGTTGCCGTGATGTCAACGACACTTATATTTAGTACTATTTATGTAGAAGAGAATGTTACAATACATGGGATATTTTTTAAATGTTTGATCAAACTTTATTGGTATATTTTAGATATTGTTCGATAGATATTGTATCGATAAAGGATATTATATAAATGTAGATCGCAAGTTTATGCATTCTTTCTTTGTTAGTGAAGAAAACTAAAATTTTTACAAAATCATCGTTTTTATACAAATCTAATATTAAAATGTGTATAAATAAATTTCAAAGATATTCAGACAAATTGCAAAAATACGGAAAAATGCTATTACTAATTCGCTATTATGCTTTAAATAGAAAACTATTTTTATTAATATTTTGTATTAATAAAAATGTTAATAAACATATGAAAAGTTTATCATAATACAATTTATCGTTTGTTATATTAAAATTTATATACATATAAATATATTTGTATTAAATTTTGTGTAAAACTTTTTTTTTTTATGCAATTTCATGAATATCGCTGTCGTTTTGCTTCCACCAATAGTATAGCTACAATATATATAAATCTATTATATTATAATAAGACATAAAAACTGAGTCTCTCGTTTATGCCGATTCAAGATGCATCAAATATCAAAAATGCTGCGTTTAATATTTAGTAGCTAGATTATAAGTATACATCTTCGATAAAACGTTCCTATAGATTGTGACATGGCTTGCCATAAGAAATGCGAAAAACTGACAGGAAACCTATGTGGATTGAATCAAAAGCTAGTCGCTGAAGCATTGCAAGCTTTGAAGAGAAGTGAGTAATGATCTGAACATTTCTCGCGCTGTTAATTATTTAATTGAAACATTGTGATAAATAATAGTCCTCTTAAAGTAACATATAATATTTTTTCGATATTCAAATTTTATGATACTAATACGAATTATGCAAGTAATTTTTGCGAACCGTTAGATCTATTAAAAAAAATATATTTTACGACCAAATTGCATAGTTAGAGAGAGTTATTGTTAATAATTAAAAACAAAGGTAAATATACCGAAGGGAGGCTGCTCCAATGATCTTGCCCTTTATATGTATATGTTGTCAAGGGCATGACCCCAAGTAACCTTCAGGTGGTTTTAGCCGTCGCTCGTTATTTGTTAAAAAGTTATTAACAAAAAAGTAACAAAAAAAATAAT